AGGAGTTATGCAAATGTGAAAATGCCTTGATAGGGGGATGTCAGTCTAGAGAAGTGGGCGTTCCTAAGTGGGCTGCATTTGCATGCATTACCGCTCATGCCAGTCATGAAGTTCATGAATGTTCCCACAACCTTCTGGGACTTGTAGTCATCTAGAGCAGTGGTTCTCAACCTGTATAACCTTAGGACCCACATTTGTCCTTGGTCATTCAGTTGCGACCCAGGTCACATTGCAATGGAATGCACGAGAACTGAAGTGGATCCTCAGCCTGGGGTCCTGTGTGGACTGCTGTGCTGTAACGGAGCTTCATCCATATGTGCATTGCTTGTACAGCTCCCTTGTGCGCCCTGTAGAGGTGCAGAGAGCCAGAATGTGATGTCACTCTGGTCTAGGCACCTCTATAAGACACGTGAGGGAGCTGTAAGCAATGCACGTATGGATGGAGCTCCCTCGCGGCCATACCCCCCAGCCCACCTCAAGCGGACACTCTGCACCGGGCAGCATATTTTGAATGGCTGCTTGGCGTTAGAACTGACAGTGCTGCATTAAGGGGAGGCAGAGGAGCCTCTCGCCTAGAAAAGTGGAAGGCATGCGGCGACCCACTGAACAAAGGGTCGCGACCCACTTTTGGGTCATGACCCACCAGTTGAGAAACAAGGATCTAGAGAGCCTTGTGTTGTCCAAGGGTCAAAGCCATCACCCCCCACTTCCCCAACCTTTCAACCCATCTTCAGATTTCTGGCAATGGAATGTAAGCTCTTGTGCCAAACGGAATCCCTTTGTAATAAATCTTACTTCTTTTTTCCACCAAGAAAAATATCTCTGCATAATATACGGCGTGTTTACGGACATTCCGCATACTTTGCTGCAACATCGGAGATCTGTGTCTACATTAGGGGGGGTCAATATTAATGGGAAGTTTTAAAAAAATCTATGATTTAGGGTCCTTGGCAGCGCTGGGAATATATATATGTAAATTTTCGCACCAGTCAATAAAGGTGACCATAGGGGCTGCCACTGCTCACCTCCTTCTAAAAAGTATAGCCGCCTGCCTGTCATGCTCATCCTCTGGTTTTAATACCTGTAGATCAGGGGTGGGCAACTTAGGCCGTCCAGCTGTGCTTTAACTATAAGCCCCAACATGTCTCTACCTCCAGGAGTCATGCTTGTAACTGTCAGTCTTGCAATGCCTCATGGGACTTGTAGTTCTACAATGGCTGGAGGGCCAGAGTTGACTACCCCTGCTGTAGAGTCAATGCACTCATCAGCACATGTTTTTCTATGAAGGGAGGTCCTTTGGCGTGAACCTTTACAAGTATTGAGTTCTCCTCATGGAAATGCTGGTTGCTTGGCTGACAAGGTGATCCCATGGCTTTCATCCTTACTGAGTCTGGTAATGGAATAAGCATGCGGATCAGTTGCATTGACTTTTCTTTGACTTTGCCAGCTGCATGCTTGTTCCAGATCAGGGTCAGCTATTGTTGAGGGCCAGAAAGTGATGGTAGATGGTGGACATCTATCAGGTTCATATGGACAAGAAGAAGATCCATGTTGGGATATTGTAGCTTTGAAAAAAAAACACAATTCCGACACCCATGGTCTAAAAATATGCCAAGCAGGGGACAACAGGGCTCTGAACACACAGGCCCAGGAGGACACAAAGGCACAGGACAACCATTTATTGGGCACCCTTCACCCATCTACAGAACCCAACGTTCAGACAGCTCCAGCCATGGATGGTGTGATGTCCATTGTCTATGTTGCGCTTTTCATGTGATTCTGGGGAGCTTGTGTTGTGGCTGAGAAGATGCACCTCATTACCAGAAGATGGACTTCATTCATGTGTGATGTTGTCCCTCCCGGGAGAGGCGTAACAATAGCCATAGCAGGCAATGTGGCTGCTATGGGGTCTAGGGGTGGAAGGGGCCCCCATTAAGGATTGCAGAAGTTGCTGCTGACCCTGTACCCCCTCATGAAGAGCTGACATGAGATGTACAGGAGGAGACTATGCAGACTGCTCACCTGCTACCTGTCCTTGATTTAGATTTAAAGGGGTCACTGTGGGCCACATCAAAATGTTGCTATGGGGCCCCATGATCTGTAGTTATGCCCCTGATTGTACAGTACTACAGTATTGTACATTAAACAATGAAATGATTTGGGATCCGTAATCTGGAGCCCAACCAATGCCTCCGCTTCATGCAGCTTTCAACACAACCTGTTTATCAGGAACTCCAGACAACTACCAGGGTTCAGACCTCTGTGTGGACTGTACTGCTGTCTGTGTATGGAGTGGGGAAATGTCCTCACATCTTGCTGAGAGGACCAGAAGAAAAAGAGAATTGCCAGCCAGTAAAAGTCAATGTTAATTTACCAAGAACATTTTCCTGGAGAGGTTCAGAAATTACCTTTAAAAGAGAACTATGGGGTCAGTGCTTTTCCCCATAGTTCTCTTAAGGGTCACATATACTAGCGTCCTCCCGTGACCCAAAGCTCAGTATATAGTGAGCTACAGCTCCCGGTATACTGAGACCGCCGCAGCCGGGACAGATCCTGACAGTCCTGTGAAGATCCACCCAGCTGCGTGAGTGACAGCTGGCTCTGCCTATCTAGAGGCAGAGCCAGCTGTACCTGCCCCCTCCCTTGTCCGTTCCTCCAGTCAGCGCTGGAGGATCGGAACAGGGAGGGGGGAATCCCTGCAGGTAACGGTGACTGACAGTCACGGCTCTCTGCAGGGACATGATCGAGAAGTGAGCGAGCAACTGTATGTGTTCGCTCACTTCCCGATCTATTGTGCCGACGTGTGACAGTTTCATTGTCACATGTCGGCTCCAACAATAAAGGTGAGTGAAAATCACTCACCTCATGAGTAACCATTTAAGGCTCAGACATGGCGGGATATTAAAGGAGAACTATGGGGTTAAGGCTTTTCCCCATAGTTCTCCTTAGGGTAACGGGAGGACACAAACTAGCGTCACCCTAGTCTCAGTATACCGCGAGCTGCAGCTTGCGGTATACTGAGACGCCGCAGCTGAAGCGGATCCTGACAATTATTTCTGGATCCGCCCAGCTGTGTGACTGACAGCTGGCTCTGCCTATCTAGAGGCAGAGCCAGCTGTACCCGCCCCCTCCCCCGTCTTATCGGATCGGGGAGGGGGGAATCCAGTCCCTCCCCTGTCACGGCTCTCTGCAGTGACAGGATCGAGAAGTGAGCGAACGCCAGTATGTGTTCGCTCACTTCCCGATCTACTAAGCCGACCTGTGACAGTCTCATTGTCACAGGTCGGCTAGAACTATGAGGTGAGTGAAAAGCGCTCACCTCATAGTTCTCCTTTAAAGTGTAAGCTCCTCTGGTGCAGAGACTGATGTGAATGATTCAGAGTTCTCTGTACATCACTATGGAATATGTCAGAGCCATATAAAGCAATAAAATAATTAGGTCTACTCTTTCCTCACCTACATATGTGCGAATAATAAACTCTCGGTTACAGAAGCCGCTCTCGGCTACAATTAATCTGACATAAGAATACAATGTGTATAGATGACTTCCAACACACACAAAGCACTTCCAGCGCAGACTTCGCAGTTCACCAAACTTGCAACAAATAACTTTCCCGACTTCATAAATCTCCCCTTCCTGTGAAAACCGCAATCTCTCGGCCCGCGGGGTCTGAAACCTATTATTAATCGCTGGTGCAGCCTAAAGAATGGATCGGTGGATTGTGTATAGAGCTACCATTCCCCCACACATAAAAGACTTCCATTTCCAGCTGTTTATACCTTTACAATAAGTATAACAGGCAGTGGGAATGCAGTCTTGTGACTATATGCACTGGCATTGTTCAGCAGCTCATAGATGTCGAGAAGCAAAGAATGACACAGGTCATGTGACTCATATTATGTCTTAAAGAGACCGTGTCACCAGGGCTGGATTTACTCTCTCTGCTGCAACAAGGCCAGGTTCTTCAATGTGCCCCCCTACCCGCCAAACCCCCCGCCATGGAGAAAGGCAGACCTGCAGGCTGCATAGATGTGCCACCCCAACAGGGGCATAGAATATGAGATGCATAGCCTCAGTTAATATTAGCATTGTTATATATGTTCAACTGCTGTTCCTATCATCTGCTGTCACCTGATGTTAAAGAATAAACACCTCTTTTGAATGAATCGGTATTGACGAGTTCAGCTATCTGACGAGGATTGTCCGCAGTGAGTATATCTGCTTATACAGGCCAGGCATAGAGGTCTCAGCAAGGGATATATTTCGCTATCACAATAATCGGAGTCAGAATAATAGAAGTGATCTCCTTGACATTGCCGAGATCACTTGTACAAAACAAGCGGCGGCTTCCCCGCTGTACATTTAGCTCTGCTTGCCCAAAGCAGGGCTAAATGTAGAAAACAACTACCCGCCCGTCACCAGGAACTGCATGTCCGGGGCATCGGGAGAAAGGAGTTCCACACCCCTGCTGCCACTCTAGTCCCTGCTGCCCTAAGGCCGGGCCTTGGTTGGCCTTGTGGGAAATCCGGCCCTGCCTGTCACCACCAAAGGCGGGTAAAAATGCAGAAAAATCGAGTATATTAAATGCGTACTTCCATTGTTTTCCTTTCCATAAATGATTTTTTTGTTCCCTTGCAATGTGCCTTCTGAATTTTGTAGCTAATGTTACTATTCTAGGAAGAGGCAACTCCCTAGCACACCTTCCTCCTTTCAATCTCATAGTCCTCTTCTTATGCCTACAACACAGCACTGGAAGGTCAGGAGACCTGATTTTCCTCTGCTGCAGTTCCGTAACACTTACAGGTCTTGCCCCTCCCCCAGCATGTGATTGGACAGTGAAAGAAGAAGCAGCAGACTGATAAAACTCATCTCTGTGTAACTCTGCTCTCTTCTTATATCAACATGCTAGCTCATGAGCACTGCAGCACAACTGATTAGCTCTTTACCGCTTCTGGAATTTGGCTTTGAATAGGAAACAACGGCATCCTTTAGCCCTCACCTGAAATCGCGTCCGTTCGGCAGCGTAGACCTGGTAATGGAACATTGCTTGTAAGACTTTCTTGTGTCCATCGGGGACCAGGCACACGGCCCCCAGGATCTCCAGCACGGCGATCTTGGTCTTGACGTTCTCAGTCCGTAAACTCTGGGAGATGATGTTGATGCTCTCCGGGTGGGCCAGGACGTGGGATCTGCCCTGCGAGTTGTTCATCAGCGCCTTTATGCATCCTATAACGGATGTGTGTATTCGGCTCTCCGATGTCTCGTAGTCCATACTCTTCAGGAAGTTCAGCAGACACGTCAAACCGTCAAGTTCGATGAATCGGGTCACAAACCTGAGAATGCAGATGAAACGCGGGATTAAAGAAAATAGTTTTATGCAAACTGCAGCAAGCTATGGCCAATTAATGAGAGCAAAGTTGTGCATTAAAGTGACCCTGTCAGGTTACAAAGAACATCAAGATCAAAGGTCCCTATAATAGAAGAGGTATCTTGGAGATCTAGGCGAACAACATGGCAGAGAGCGTCAGGGTGCAGCATGCTTTTTTTAGGAGATACCCTATTAAAGCCCAATTACAAAATAAGGAAGGTTTAAAGAAATATTAGGTAACGCAGAGTCCAGGGGTCAGTAGAAACGAATACAGAGTACAGGGGAGAGGAGTATATAACACAGAATTCAGGGGTCTGTAGTATGTAACGCAGAGTGCAGGGGTCTGTAGTATGTAACACAGAGTGCAGGGGTCTGTAGTATATAACACAGAGTGCAGGGGTCGGTAGTATGTAACACAGAGTGCAGGGGTCTGTAGTATATAACACAGAATTCAGGGGTCAGGAGTATGTAATGCAGAGTCCAGGGGTCAGTAGAAACTAAGACAGAGTAGGGTGGCAATCCACCTGTCACATGACCATGAGTATGTAACGCAGATTTCAGGGTTGGGATTATGTAATGCAAAGTTCTGGGGTCAGTTGTAAGTAACGCAGAGTGTAAGGGTCAGTAGGATGTAACACAGCATGCAAAGATCAGCAGTATGTATTGCACAGTGCAGGGGTCAGTAGTATGTAAAACAGAGTGAAGGGTTAGAAGCAAATAATTCAGAGTGCAGGGGTCAGTAATAGGTAACACAGGGTGCAGAGGTCGTTAGTTAGTAACACAGTGCAGGGGGCAGTAGTATGTAACACTACATCCAGGGGTCAGTAGTATGGTATGCAGAGGGCAGGGGTCAGAAGCAAGTAATGCAGAAGACAGGGGTCAGTAGTAAGTAACGCAGAGTTTAGGGGTCTGTAGTATGTAACACAAAGTACAGGGGTCTGTAGTATGTAACACAAAGTACAGGGGTCAGTAGTATGTAACGCAGAGTGAAGGGGTCTAAAGTATGTAGCACAGAGTGCAAGGGTCTGTAGGATGTAATGCAGAGTGAAGGGGTCTGTAGGATGTAATGCAGAGTGCAAGTAATGCAGAAGACAGGGGTCAGTAGTAAGTAACGCAGAGTTTAGGGGTCTGTAGTATGTAACACAAAGTACAGGGGTCTGTAGTATGTAACACAAAGTACAGGGGTCAGTAGTATGTAACGCAGAGTGAAGGGGTCTAAAGTATGTAGCACAGAGTGCAAGGGTCTGTAGGATGTAATGCAGAGTGAAGGGGTCTGTAGGATGTAATGCAGAGTGAAGGGGTCTGTAGGATGTAATGCAGAGTGAAGGGGTCTGAAGTATGTAGCACAGAGTGCAGGGGGACGGGGGAGGGGGCTGGTACAGCTGGCTCTGGCCTCTAGATAGGCAGAGCCATCTGTCAGTCACGCAGCTGGGCGGATCCCGGCACAATTGTCGAGATCCGCTTCAGCTGCGGCGTCTCAGTATACCGCGAGCAGGAGCTCGCGGTATACTGAGCCTAGGGTGACGGGAGGACGCTAGTTTGTGTCCTCCCGTTACCCTAAGGAGAACTATGGGGAAAAGCCTTAACCCCATAGTTCTCCTTTAATGGTTGAACTTGATGGACATGTTTATTTTTATAACCTTGCAATGTAACAATGCCTGGCTGTCTGTGGCTTCAGTACTTCAGAGCTACCAACCCAGAACAAGCATGCAGTTTGGAAAATTAAAGTCGGAAATTTCTGATCTTTATACTTGTGGGTGAATGATTCGGACAGTAATGATGCCACTGGATCAGTACGACACCCAGCAAACATTCTCAACCCATGTAGCTCGGCAGATTATTCAGGAACTAGACAGGAGATGTCTGTAAAAAACAATTCAAGGCAACTGGACTTGCTGTATTTTTCTTGAAGACGTTTCACTGGTTATTCCTCTAGACAGGAGATGCTCTCCGGGAAGCCATGCTCCAAGTTATGGAATAGATGGAATGTACGGAGAGCGGACCGTTGTTTAACAACCTGACATAAAGTTTATATTACTTTACTCATTCACCTCTACCAGCCTGTTTATCTTACAGGAAACCTGACCGCATATGGGAATGGCTGCAATTGTTCACTGTAACATACATTAAAAGAAGATTGCCATGAAGAACATGATGACCTGCAGCATGGAAGAGATTCCAAGGTTACATTAATGCAAAGTGGGAGGAAAAAATGGACATTTTTTTGCCTTAGTTCTTGTCAGCAGCTCCACGATTTTTATTGTCTGTCTAGACACAAATCGGAGGCCTTCCGTCACTTGTCAGAACGTGCAGGAAATGCGACACAGCCTGCGAGAGATCTACCAAGAGCCATCGATCACTCAGATCACGGCTTTCATCAACACAGGGAAAATATCACCTATACACAATGATATCTCCTTCTGTCTTATTATCTTTTCTGAGATTCTCACCTTTGCACTGGCTATGTTTTTAGTACACAGATATATACAGTATATTATGTGGCCTTAAGGTTGTGGACACCACCTCATCAAACCTATATGAGCTTGTTGGACATCCTATTTCAAAACCATGACCATTAATAGGAAGTTGCCAACCTTTTCCTCTATAACAGCCAGGGCTGGATTTCCCACAAGGCCAACCAAGGCCCGGCCTCGAGGCAGCAGGGAGTAGAGGTGCAGCAGGGGTGTGGACGTACAGTTTCGGGCACCGGTTGTTTAATTGTTTTCTATTTGGGGCAGCAGAGAGAGGGTCCTCACATGACCCAAAGCTCAGTATATGGAGAGCTACAGCTCGCGGTATACTGAGACCGCCGCAGCCGGGCGACATCCACCCAGCTGCGTTAGTGACAGCTGGCTCTGCTTATTTAAAGCGAGCTGTACCCGCCCCCTCCCCCGTCCATTCCTCCAGTCAGCGCTGGAGGATCGGAGTGGGGAGGTGGGAATCCTTGCAGGGAGCAGTGAGTGACAGTCACAGCTCGCTGCAGGGACAGGATCGAGAAGTGAGCGAGTGATGGTATGTGTTCGCTCACCTCCCGGTCTATTGAGCCGACGTGTGACAGTTTCTTTGTCACACGTCGGCTCGAACTATGAGGTTGAGTGAAAGTCACTCACCTCATAGTTTTCCTTTAAGTAAAGAAAGTTGACAAAAAGGTGATAAAAATGATAAAAAATTATAAAATTAAAAAAAATTTAAACGAAACCTGCCAAACCTACCACCCCCACCATTTGATTTAAACAAACGTGTGTGTAGGGCATGGACGTGTATGTAAACAGGGAGGGGACCCTGCAAGGTAGGCTGTATGGGGCCCGATGATTCCTAATGGCGGCCTTGTATATATAGTCACCAATTTGCATATTTTAGATCCAAATACATTTTGGCATTTATTGCAGAGAATCACACAATTCAGGAGCCCGAGCAATGATGATTCATGATCTATGATCCACCAATCTATATTTATATGTTTAAGGTAACATTTGCAATCTGCCAGCACGCCTGAGTCAAGTCCCTCAACGCAGATTGAACATAATTCCAGTCAAAATACATCGCTTGACTGAACCAAATTCTGGGCAGAAGAATCCCCTGGCGACCGTCCAGCCAAATTGGAGACAACAATGAAATGTATCCATCCCTTATAGCAAGCCGGGCACAGCCCTGCCCCGGGAGGGACTCTAGTATAGAGCCCCACACACACTTACTGGTTTATTTTGGGCGCTCTCCAAGAAAAACTCACCAGTTATATTTGTGCTTTCCCCAAAAATAGCCGCAGAATCCTTTTTAAAACTTTCATGAATGAGGAAAGGAAATGTTTAATTTCGGTCCTGAGATCCACCAGATCTGCAACATTAATTTCTACAAATGTTTTGTCCACATGGTTGTAAGGTGTGTGCCCAGCCTTAGAACTAGTGGGATCTTCCAATGCAGAACATAATGTCACCACTATATAAATTAATCAAATTTATGTCAGGAAGTGTGGTCAACATTACCGCTGAGGGGCTGTTAAGATAAGACCAATTAGCTCATTAGAAATCATGATTGTTTTCAAGTCAGAGAAGACTGATAAAGGTGCCCATACACTGCACGATTATCGTACGATAATCGTATGCGATCGGTTTTTCGTACGATAATCGAGCAGTGTGAACGGAGACGTGCGACCGTTTCTACTGTACGGTCGCACGTCTTCTGTCGAACCAGCATGTTCGAAAAGCAGCCGGGAATCGTACGATTCTCGGCTGGTTAGAACGGTGCTCGGAAGACAAATGCCGAGCGGGCCGGTGTGCGCACGCGCACACTGCCTGTTCAGCATTGCGGTCATCGGAAGCCCGCCCCTCAGGGGGGCGGGCTTGCGATGATCGAGAGTGCGATCTGCCTGTCCAAGATAGGCAGATCGTACGTTTTTTTAATCCCTGTACAACCATCGCAAGACTAAAGTCTTGCGATGGTTGTAGAGTGTATGGCCACCTTAAGATTACACTGAGAGAGGAACAGCAAAGCACAATCAGCGCTAATTAAGAGGAAACAGATCCCCCAGATATACATTTACAATCACTGACCTAGTCATAGGTCCATCTAGTGCTGGGTTGGTCCACCTTTTGACTTCAGAACAGCCTAAGGTCTCATTCACACAGCTACATGTTGGACCCTACAGTTCCGTGCGGCGTGCATGGCCGTATCGGACCGCTCCCGGGAAGGACAGGTGCTGCGCAGCAGCCTGTAGGTTGTACGCAGCAGCCTGTACTTCTCTATGGGAGTACACGGCTGTACGCTCACCCGAACTGCACATCCGTGCGGGTGCGGAAGTCCGTACTCATATGCAGACAGGATGGCACATCCATGAGCACGGACACCTGCACCCGCACAGACGTGCAGGTCGGGTTAGCGTATGGCGGCGTACGGCCGCGTCCTCCCATAGAGAAAAACAGGCTATTGCGTACAATCACACGCCACGCCTGTCCTTCCTGAGAGCGG